AGTGCAATCGTAATGAAGTTCGTCTGTGAACCAAAAACAAGCCTGGCCAGCTCTTTCGCTATCTTCTCTTTAGCTTGAACGTCAACACCTTGGAAAAACAACCAAGTGTCTTCTTTAGACTCACCTTCACTCAACTTACCTTTTCTTCTTAACATCCCCGACCTGCACTTTAAGATTGTGCTCACGATCTCCGGAATTATATCTTTTTGCCAAGGAACCTTCTTTTCCAATGCGGTGCATAAGGTGGTTAAGTTCTCAGCATTTAGTTCCTTGAACTTGTGAGCATATTCCATCTCCATCACATCACTGGAACAAGCTGAGTTAGGGGTTGAATTAGGGTTTGACGATAATAGTTGTTTAGGGTCCTTATTACCATGTTCGGGAATATATAATCTCAAACCGGTGGGTTCAACAGTAGTCTTGTCTACTGTTTCAGAAATCCAAAAATGGCTGTCTCTCCATGACTGTCTAGTTTCAACCACAGGCCAGTAGTGGTGGGGCTGCTGGTGCAAATGAGGGTATTGCCGGTGATGTGAAAAGCAAGAAGTAGAGGAAGGAGGTGAAACAGAAGAGATTAATGTATGGGTTCTTTCAGATGAAAATGGTTGTTTATGGACTGAATTGCAAAATGAATTCCACTTTTTGCAAAGTTCTCTGACTGAGGCAGAGTCCTAGTAGAGAGGGAAGAGAAAACAAGTTGCAAAAGAAAAAGTTAGTTTTAAACTTGTACGTGGTTGGACACTAATTTTGTTTGAAGAAAAGAGGGATATTTGTGAATGTGATTATAACCTTATCATTGCTGCCAAGTCCTTTGTTCTCAATATCCTTGCATGTTTGAAACCATGGAGGAAGGCTTGAGGTGGTGGACTCATTGCTGCTTTGTAAGCTTCCAACTTCATTTTCAAACTTGGCGGAGCAATCAGCACAGCAAGTCAGTTGCTTCTCCTCTCCACCATCAAGCAAAATCCAGCTTGACCCGTTTTCAACTTTTTGGCTTGTGGACTCACTTTGTAGATCACTGAATGGAAAAAAAAAAAAAGGGGTTCAATGAACTTGAATTGATAAATATCCAATCTTTACACTATGGGAATTTGGAAACCCCAATCCTGAAGATTTTTGGGAAACTGTAACTTGAAGGGGAATAAGTATATTCGATATAGAGAAACCTAGCCTCCTTTCCTCTGACCCCTTACCCCCGCTTACCTTTCTTTTTTGCTTCTTTTAAGGACAAAGTGACTATGAATAACTGTCTTCAATTCAAGAAATGAAGCAAAGAATAACCACTTAGACATTTGTTAAAGAAGATAAACAAAACAAAAGGAAAAGAAGCTAAAATGAAAAGAAGCGTGAAGAAAAACTTGATTTTCCATTGCTACTGTGTTTACATTTACCCATAATAATATTTCCTTTTCCTGTTTGTATTTTTTAGCTACCTTGTTTAGTCTCTCAAAAGAAGAAAAGAGAATCCAGTTTTTCAGGATCAGTTTAGTTGATTCATATGAATTACATGAGAATCAAAAACTATAAATCCAATCTAATAATTTGCATATGTATATTTGAAAAACCTTTATGCAAGGCTAATTTACCCGTCAATAAGGAGACTCAAGCGTAAGATGCCTGCAGGAATTGTTAGAGGATGCAAACCCCAAAGATTTTCCAGTGATGGATGGCCAGATTTACATCTCATGTAAGTTTGGAAACTGGCAATCCCCATGAGCCTAAACATTCCACTCTCTCCAATATTACAAACCAATTTCCCTATCTCCATGATCATATGCCCCACTGGATGGTAATAGCCCCTACCTTGGTCACTTGAACTTGCCGTATACTCAACAGCCCATTTGAGATCACCCAAATTGAAAACAATCCCTGTTCCTAAAGAATTCCTGACATGGGTCTTTAGCTCTTCTAGTTTTTGCTCAACATCTACTCTGTTTAGATGCCCAAAAGAAGAGAAAGAAAGGTTTACAAACTTAACATCTCTCAAAGACTCAGGAACATCTCGCTTGTCAACTTTGTCAAACACTGCTCTAACTACACCGTCAATACTAGAAATACACTCTCCCACAACCACAAAACTTCTTCTCTTTTTGTTCATCAAATTCTCTATCACAAACATGACATCTTCATTCCTGATTATCGGATCTGGTCCTCTTGGTTTCCCTGCTTTACTTCCAACTTGAGCAGCAGTAGGAGATTGAGAGAGAACTAAATTACCATTATTACTTTCCTTGGATGTACTGTTCACTGAAGGAGCGTTTTGGGAACAGATTTCTAAGGAAAGAGCTTGTTCGACGTTGCTTTTGACTTGTGTACTAGAAAAACCAGCTTCTCTCATGACTCTACTTACACTTGGATCGTCTAAAATGGATATTATAAGCTGCTCGAGCTCTATCTTAACTGCCAAGAGTGGTTGTTGCTGGTTTTCAATGGAGCCACGCCTTTGGTGAGCCTGAGCACGCTTGAAGGCTGCAACCAAGGCATTAGAGATGGAAGGGTATTGGGAATGACCTCCAAACATAGGGCTCGCCGTCGAAGCCGGAAGGCGATTAAGGGCAACATTGAAACAAAGCTCCAAGGCTCTGCACTGAAGCGGGTGAGAGTGGGATTGAATGCAGGCCGTGCGCAGCAGGCCTGTAGAAGCGGAAAACATAGTGTTAGCTACGTGGAGGGGAGTAACTTGGGCATGGCCACGACGCCTAGCAAGAGTTACAGCCTGCTTTACGACATTAGCAGCCTCATTTGTTAGAGCTTGTTGCAGTGTGCAACCTCCTGCTCTCATATTGTCTCTCTCGAAACCTATTTTTCTACAAAAATATATAGTGAAACGACACTTAAAACAAAGATTAGATCAAGCGAGGAAGATGGAGTTAAAATTCAAGCTTCATGGATGCTGCTGCTTGGACTAAAACAAACTAGGATCGAAATTTGGGAGGCAGAGCCTAACAAAATCTAGTCTATTAGGAAAGTACTGATTGAAGGGTGGAGTTTCAGCTTTCTAATGCAATTCTAGATTAAGATTTGGTAGTGGGGAGAGAGAGAGAGAGGGAGTGTGTGTGAAATATAAGAAGGTAGGCTATGCTTTTCTTGTAGGTGAGGCAAAATTTTGGGGTCCAAAGTCTATTTTGGAGTGGAAAGTGGAATGCATGTGCTGACAAGCATGACGAATGCAGCAGTACCAAAGGCAACTCAGCTTTGCCCTGTCTCTCTTTCTTTCTGTCTCAATTTTGATGCAAAAAGTAATTAATAAAACATTTACGGGTTTTTTAACCTCAAAATCAACAAACGTCGACACCTATCTCCAAGTGCACATAAACAAAATCTTGGTATAATCATTATCATTTGTAACCTTGAAGCCTTACCCAATCCAGCACTTTTTCAGTAAAACCTAGCTCAATCAGATTCTTTTTAGCCACATGGAAGGAACAAAGTATTGATATAATAAGAAGAAAATTGTATCTTTAAAGAAACATTTTAATTTACAATTACAATATTATAAAGAAGTAAAGTTAGATATTATAGGAATTCAAAATATAATTTAATTGATTTATATAATTATTTTTAAAATATAATATTTAATAAATTTTAGATTTAAATTTGGATCTTTTTAAAGCAAAAAAAATTAAATATTATACATTTATGATTGAGGTAAAATGATAAAATACACCCTAGTCATATCGAGCATGGACATATGTGGAATTTTAGTGAAGCAAATTGGTGGCTGGAGTTACCTCAAACCGAGGGAGGGAAAGAAAGAAATTAATGATGTTTAATTTCCACAACGTCAATCCGCCAAAACCGAGGACCTGAAAAGAGAATGTGGACTATGTGTCCAAAGGAGTCGGGAACTGTGTACGGTTTTCTTCCGAACATGGAATAAAGTGTTCCTCTCGTTTTCTGTTTTTTTTAAGCTAAGGATTTGTTTGGAGGAAGGATTATATTGATTTTGGTAAAATTAAAAAAAATTTATAAATGTAATTAAAAAATTTATAAAAAAATTTATACTAAATATATCTTATTAAAATTCACATTTAAATTCAATTAATTAATATTAAAATGAAGTCAATTGTATTACACTAAACGTACAAAAAAAATCCAAACACCCCCACTATATTACATACACCAAAACGTACTAGCATATGCTTTGCATGGGGATTGTTGACAAAACTTCCCAAAGGCCAAAAACATTCTCCTCTCACTCCCTCTCTCTTCATTATTTCATAAAGTTGGAGCTTTTGGACCCTCTCTTCGATTTTAAAAATAAAAAACAAAATGAAAAATGAAGAAACAAATGATCAAGTAAAACATATGATAACGAACTTCCAGAGTCCTAGGGGCATTCCTCGATGGGTCTGATTTCTTTTTAACATGGCCGATTACATGGTTCCAAATCATTTGCAAACAAGGCTGTTGTGCTCATTGCACTAAAAATAATTATCTTATACAAATGGGGTTGAAAAGTTGATAAGTGTCTGATCATCAAATTATATTTATAAAAATTAATTATTAAATTAGTACGTGTTAATTTTTAAATTTTATTTGTAAAATTTAAAAACTTTATTAGTATTAATGTGTATGATGAATATTTGTTGGTTATACTATGAAACAGCTATGCATCAAGTATTATAGGAATGAACTTGGTACTATCAATTTGCCTATGTATAGATATGGTAGTCATGAGTATTGCTTGTATTGCACATCATGAATGTAGACATCTTATTTTATTCGGAGTTATTTATCAATTGAGACCAATCTAAGCTCAATTGTAAAAATTTTTATTTATTTTTATTTCTGATTTTTATTTCGTATTTATCATTTTTTATTTTATTTTATGGTCTATCTATTTTTTTTTTCTGTCTTCATTATCTAATTAATAAAAAAAAAAAAAAAAAGCTAAAAAACTGAGATTAAGCTTGATGATGATCAGAAAGCATAATTTGATGCTAATCTTTAGCTTTGGATACTAATTAGAATTGAATTAAAATTTTATCAGAATCTATATATCAACAATGAATACACAGGGAACGAAAAAAAAAAACCAGTCAGCCCCTACCTACACACAATGGCTTAACCTCTTTTTACCACCAGTACCTCCAACTCCAAAATTCAAGACCATAGTTCACTACCTCGACTGAAATCGATAATCCCTAGAGGCCAACGCAATCCCACAACCACTGCCCACCATCCCACGACCATCCAGCCATCCCTACCAGAACAATCCCGATCCTAATCCCGACCGAAACCCACAGTCATCCAGTACAAGCCTTTAATAATCCTAAGTCCCAACCGAAACCTATAGTCATCTAGTAACCTTAAACAATTAGATTCAGCCTAAGATACACCAAACTCTAGACTTAGCAGTGATCATCATAGCAATAATTCAGCCTAGACTCTAGGAACCCATACAAATCCAGAACACCCAGCAATCACTCAGAAGACTCCATGAAACAAAAAAATAAAAAGCAGAGCAAAATCATCTCATCATCCACAAATCTATCACGCTGAAACCAAGGTGGTACGCAGCACACCCTACCAAAGCCCCAAGTTCAATTCCAACAAACAATCAGAAGCGACCTTCATTCTGATTGCAACCCTGTAGCCCAAAAAAAGAATCTCGTTCCATCGTCCTGCAAAACAAAAAGGAAATAAGGGATTGAAAAATAGGATACAGAGAAAAAATAGAGTAACCCAGTGGTATCGAAAGCATACAAAAAGTAACAGCACACATACAGAGCCCTCACTGAGCTCTACCAACACAAACATTATCTCCACCCATTGAAACCCCTTTGCACTAACACATATAGAAGCTACCAGCTACAAGAATCGAAACTTGCCACTACATTCAGCTTCTTGTTGAATAATCACGTCAACATCAATTCAGAAATGTGACAAAATCAGAAACCAAAGATCAGAAACTAAAAGTAGAGGATTAAACAAAACAAAAAAAGAGAAAACCAGAAACCCCCTGGCAGCGACGGTGATAGGCGATTGTTGGTGCGACTTTTGGAAAATCTGAACGGTGAAGACGTGGAGCTTGACGAAAGAAATCATATACTGAAAGTTGGCGAAGATCCGACGGTGGGAGGGGCTGAAACAGAAGAAAGAAAAATTGTAACTTGGACACCAGATCTACGCCTTTAGGAAGCGATTTACGAAAAAACAAACTCATATTCGAGACAAGAAGAGTAAGAAGCAGCGATGGAAAGAATTTTGGCTTGACCGATTATCGGACAGTGGCAGAGTACGACGACACAGGTGGCGGGGAGCGACAGAGCCGATGCCAAAATCTGGAAACTTTTGAAGTTTCCATCCTTCATTCTTCTGTCCTTAGAGAGAGAGGGAGAGAAAGCTGAGTGTAGAGAGAGAGGAGGAAACGGTAAAATGAAGAGAAATGCTTGAGGGTAGGCTTTTATAGGATCAATAAAACGGTGTCGTTTTGGCCAAAGAAACCAGGTTTTTTTTACCCGTTTCAAGGATCCACATGTCAAACATTGGGCAATCCGACCCAATCGCTCAACCTGATCTTCTGTTCTAGTCCTGCTTCACGCCATTTGAGCTCCAAGTCGAGCCGATTTTTATGTCTAAAGTCGAGCCGTGCCAACCTTTCAACTAAGTTGTTTTGATTTTTTTTATTTTATTTATTTATTTTCTTTGTTTTTATTTTTTTGTATTTTTTTTTAATTTATGTGTTTGTATTTTTTTGCATTAATAAATAAATAAAAAAGAATAGAAACAATATAAAATAAAATTTTCAAGAATAATATTTTTAAGAAAAAGTTTAAAATATCAAGTTTCCTTGAAAATAAAATTAAAAAATATATATTTTTGAAGGAAAGTTGAAAGTATCAATTTCTTTTATAAGTAAAAAGTTTTTAAAAATATATATTTTTTAGAAGAAGTTAAAAGTATTAATTTTTCTTAAAAATAAATTTTTTTAAAAAAATAAAAGTGTTTAAAAAAATATTTTGAGAAAAAGTTGAAAGTATCAATTTTTCTCGAAATTAAAATTTCAGAAAAAATATTTTGAGGAAAAGTTAGAAGTACCAATTTTTCTTAAAAATAATTTTTCAAGAAAAACATTTTAAGAAAAAGTTGAAAGTATTTATTTTTTTTGCACAGAAGCAATGAATTTTTAAAAAATAAAAAATAAAAAAAAGATTTATATCTAAAGTTGAATCATTATTTTTTTTCTTTTCTTTTTTTTTTTGAAATTTTCTTTAATGTTAAATAATCCGATGATGGAGTCTCTGCAAGTGAAACAGTAATTTTTTTTTATACTCTTGAAGTGAGAGAATTTTTTTAATTTTTTACCAAAAGTATTTGAGTCAATTAAGAATAATTTCTAATAATTAATTACCCAATAAAATTTTTAAAGCTTATTGGATAGCACAAAATTAAGTTGATACCATATTTCGATGGGCATTGTGAGGGTGCTATAACCTTCCTCACACGTAACCGAACTCTCAAATCTTGTTCTGGTTAGTAAACCTGAACATATTCTTTTAGAAACTCTTAGGCTTAGGTGTTCCTTAAAATGATAGATTCCTTAAGTGGTTAATCGCACCTAAACAAAAAAATTTGGTGGCGACTCCTTCAAGTCAATGTCTAGCGATAGGTCCTCGAATCTATATGTTATGACAATGAGTAACTATAAGACATGGGTTGTTTGGCAAATGTAGAATAGACGATCTCAATTGGATTATTAAATTAAATCATAGATCAATTGGCATGTACAGCCTCAAATATTGAAAAGAAAAAAAGAATAAACATGCCCTAAAACCACACTTAAATTCTAAGATTATGAAAACTAAGTAAAATGAAATTTGAGGCTAATATGGAAACCAAACCACATTTTATTCTTTTTTTTTTTAAGGAAAACCACAGTTTATTCTTAAAAAAAAAAAGTCTATTATTAAAACGAAACTAAATAAAGCTATCTTTATAATAGGTTTATTAGACATTAGCTATGTAAGTGAAACGAGCTTTTAGAGACCAAAACTTGAGATCCCTTAATTAAAAATCTATAAAATGAGTTGAACTAAATTGCTACTAACAGATAAATTTAGGGATAACTTTTATTGGACAAGGCAAACATTTCTTCATTAATTTTAAGAATTTATTTAAGAAAAAAAGAAAGATTTGAGCCTAACTTTTTGAACAGAAGAATACATGTATAAACCACTTAGTCAAATACCCATGTGCAACATATAGCAATATTTTTTAAAAAGCTTTACTTAATCAGACCTTTGTTTTTAACTAAGTTTCAAATAAACTTAAAAAGTCCATTTTTAACCTCTCACCCAATAGCTTAAATTTTTAATTCAAGTAATTTCACAAAATGAGATTGTTAGAGTTTCATGAATTATAATCATCCTCATTTGTAGTAATTAAAATCTCACCACAAGCTAAGTATAAGGTGAATTTATACTTTGTATAGAAAATGAAGCTTTACCGATGAGTTTTAGTTTAATGGTATTAAAGTCGATTTCAAGATTGAAGGCCTTCAATTCGAACCCTATCTAAACCCAAAAACCAAAAAAAAAAAAAAATTTGTGGGCATCTGAGAAGTGATTATAATTAAAGTATAAGCTAAAGGAAAAAGAGAGAGAAAAAAAAAAAACTATGTATTTACATTAAAGGTTGCACTATATCTATCACAAATCAAAATTACTTATCGTTTCTTCCTTTTTTTGCTTTGCTGGCTCAGTCAACACGGGGAGGCCGACTGGTTCTAGGTGTTATAGCTTTGTTGTGGCCCATCTTTAAACTTACTGCTTTTATTCCTTAGCATGCCATTTACATAGAAAGGAGAACTACACCGACTACACTATCATAAATCTAGGAATTCTCATATAAAACTAATTATCAAAGCATATTTTTCTTACACAACAAACGAGATATCTCCTTTTAATTCCTCAACCATCTAATTCTATCTTTTACTTTTTTTTTTTAATGTCAAATGTAGGCACCAATTTTGTTTGATTCTATTTTAACTTAAATATAATTTAGTTATTATTATTATTAAAAAAAAAGTCAAAACAAAAAAAATCAAGTTTCAACTCTGGCAGTTGAAATTAAGGTGCTAGAGTAATTTTTTTTCTCCTTGACACTACCTAATCTTGTAGCATGAAATTCGGTACCCAAAAAGGTCACTAGACAAGTTTTTTCACAAACCCCAAAAAGTCTACAAAATCTCAAAATTTTTAAGATTTTGATTAGTTCTATAAATAAAGCCAAGTTTTTGCAAAACAAAAGGAGGAAGAACAACACAGTGCAAAGTCTAAAGAAAAAAAAAGAAAAATACTGTAAAAAAAAAAATGAACTAAAAAAAGGTAACATTGCCAAAAAAAAAAGTAGAAAGCAATTTTTACAACCATTTACACACATAAAAATAAAAATAAAAACACAGTCCTCTTTAATAAAAAAACCAGTAGCAAACACACAAAAAAAAATTTCAGAAACAAAAAAAGACCCCCCAAGAATGAAATTCTTGATCTAGAAGGCTTGAGAATTTTTTTATTTTTTTGAAAAATTTGATTTGGAAAGAGTGTTTAAAAAACAAAAAAGCTCAATTTGATATTTTTTGAGAATTTTTGAAAAAAATTTTGAAGTCACTGGAAATTGAAAAAGTTTGACTTTTTCAATGACCTTTGAAGTTTTCAGCAATCGAATTTTGGAAATATTGCCAAAATTTGAAAACTTTAAATTTTTTGACACATTGAAGATTTTGATCACTGATGCACAACGACGATTGGCCAAAATCTGGGTTGTCATGATGGCCAACTAAGGGGTTGAGTTTTTAAAAATAGAGGTTCTAGGAGTAAAAAGAGAAAGTGGAAGGAAAAAAATATAAAAAAATAGAAACATGCCTTCTATAAGTGCACCAAAATAACGTCGTTTTAGGTGTCTGACCCGCACCCAACCTATACAGGATTTGCATGTGACCTGCACTCCAACTCGACCCGTTTGTAAGTTTTTCTTTTTATATTTTATTTTATATTTGTTATCTGTTTAAGATTTTTATAATTTATATTTTATAATATTTATATATTTTTTATATTAAAAATAAATAATTATCAGTAACAATAAACATTAAAAAAATAATTACTAAGATTTTAATTAAATAAAATAAAGGAAAATGATAAATTATTTAAATGAATCTTTTAAATGTAATTTTTAGATTAAACTGAAAGAGTTCGATTTTTTTTAATTATTGCAAATAAAAATAACTTTTCAGATTTTACCGTAGAATAGGAATAATCTAAAATTATTTTTACTAGAATAAAGATTTACGTAAACAATAATAATAATAATAATAATAATAATAATAATAATAATTGACATTTTGAATAAATATTTTTAAAAAATGTAGAAAATTGAAAGAATTCAATTTTTTTAATACAACTAAAAAAATTAATATTTATATTTACCGGTGAGTAAGGATAATCTAAATTTTTTTATATAATAAAAATAATTAATAAATAAATAATAAATAATAAAAATAATCACAATAAAAATTAATTAATTAATTAATTAAATCTGTTAATTATTATAAAAATAATTTTATTTAGGATCTCGTCAAAAAGTTGAGATGATGTTAAAACTTATTCAAAATTTTTAAATAATCTTAAATTTTATTTAATAAATTTTGAAAACTCACTAAAAAATCAGGATGTTGCTAAAATTATTTTGTTAAATAAATAAAATATCATATGATAAAATTTCAAGAATTTTGTGAATGATTAATTTTCTTAAAATATTTTTTAAATAAAGATTTTCTATAAATTCTACCAAAATATTAAAAAATTTATAGAATACGAAAATAATGTTAATTTCACAACAAAGAAATTTTTTTATAAATAAATTTTAAGAAATTAAATTTAAATATAAAAAAAATTGCATCATCAAAATTAAGGGATTACATATATTTAATTAATGTTGTTCCTCGAATAGGTGACGTGAGGGTGCTAATACCTTTTAACTCATAACCGTACTTTTAAATTTAACTCTGATTTCGTAGACTTAAATTTTTTTTAATAAATCTTAATTAATTTTAAAATTTTTATTAAAAAATAAAATTATTGTGTGATCAACCGCACGTTACAAAAATAAATTGATAATAACTTCAAAAATTTTCATTCAAATTTAACCATAGAGTCTCTCGAATAAAAAATCATTGCAACACCAAACAACTCTTTGCCAAACGCATGCTTACCGTTATACACTCATTTCAATCTCAAAATTTCTAGGAAAAAAAAAAGATAGAAAGAGGTGGAGAATAATTCAACAATCATAGAACTGATCATGATAAGAAACAGATATTAGTTTCATGGTCACATCTCACATGGTAGGGAGGTAGCCAGTGACAGAAAGCTGGTGAAAACTTCACAGCAGCCAATAGAGAACAGCATCCTAGCCCAAAAAACTAGAAGAATGTTCTTTGTATTTGGAATCCCATGAAGGTATTAGCATTTCAAAAGAGTTGACATGATATGACATGACAGAGGGTAATTTGTCATG